AACAATTAAGCCATCTGATTAGTTTATAAGATTCATGGTACAACAATTAAGCCATCTGATTAGTTTATAAGATTCATGGTACAACAATTAAGCCATCTGATTGGTTTATAGCATTCATGGTACAACAATTAAGCCATCTGATTGGTTTATAGCATTCATGGTACAACAATTAAGCCATCTGATTAGTTTATAAGATTCATGGTACAGCAAATAAGCCATCTGATTGGTTTATTCATGCTTTAACAATACAGACATTTGAATTGTTTGTACTCACCCTAAATCATGTTGGTCATCTGCAAGACCAGGTGCTATAAGTGAATGTCCACCTAATTGTAAAAGTCTTCGATTCAATCTCTTAGCAACAAAATTAAACCTAATATAATATAATATAAAAATGTACAATAAACACCAAATGTATAAATCAGAGTTGATTGTCTTAGGTGAAAAATGGATGATTTTTATGGCAGCAACAAGAGTTAAAAATGGTTACTAAATGTACTGTACAGCAATATGTCTAAGCAAAATTTAGCCAGGAAATTACTAGCCAATGTGTTCCTCAATAATACATCTACTGCATTAATCTAAATGTTACTTATAACATGACTTATATAAAAATCCCAAAAAATAATAGTAAAGCAACAAAACAATTAATACTAAGTCTACTGTATTAATCTCAATGACCCTAAAAATACTAGCCAATGTGTTCCTCAATTAATACTACATCTACTGTATTAATCTCAATGTAATTTACAACATAACATAACATGACTTGTATTAAAATTCCAAAAAATAATAGTAGAACAAATCAATTAATAATACATCTACTGTATTAATTTCAATGTCCCTAAAAAATACTAGCCAATGTGTTCCTCAATTAATAATACATCTACTGTATTAATCTCAAAGTCATTTACAACATAACGTAACATGACTTGTATTAAAGTTCCAAAAAATAATAGTAGAACAAATCAATTAATACTACATCTACTGTATTAATCTCAATGTCCCTAAAAAATACTAGCCAATGTGTTCCTCAATTAATACTACATCTAATGTATTAATCTCAAAGTCCCTAAAATATACTAGCCAATGTGTTCCTCAATTAATACTACATCTACTGTATTAATCTCAATGTCCCTAAAATATACGAGCCAATGTGTTCCTCAATTAATACTACATCTACTGTATTAATCTAAATGTTACTTATAACATGACTTATATAAAAATCCCAAAAAATAATAGTAGAGCAACAAAACAATTAATACTAAGTCTACTGTATTAATCTCAATGTCCCTAAAAAATACTAGCCAATGTGTTCCTCAATTAATACTACATCTAATGTATTAATCTCAAAGTCCCTAAAATATACTAGCCAATGTGTTCCTCAATTAATACTACATCTACTGTATTAATCTCAATGTCCCTAAAATATACGAGCCAATGTGTTCCTCAATTAATACTACATCTACTGTATTAATCTAAATGTTACTTATAACATGACTTATATAAAAATCCCAAAAAATAATAGTAGAGCAACAAAACAATTAATACTAAGTCTACTGTATTAATCTCAATGACCCTAAAAATACTAGCCAATGTGTTCCTCAATTAATACTACATCTACTGTATTAATCTCAATGTCCCTAAAATATACTAGCCAATGTGTTCCTCAATTAATACTACATCTACTGTATTAATCTCAATGTCCTTAAAATATACGAGCCAATGTGTTCCTCAATTAATACTACATCTACTGTATTAATCTCAATGTCCCTAAAATATACGAGCCAATGTGTTCCTCAATTAATACTACATCTACTCTATTAATCTCTATAGAATAACATAACATGACTTATATTAATATATGGTGTATATATATATATGTGGTGTGAATTGACCAGGATAACCATGCTATATGAATAATGTGAGAGAATTTACCATGGCAACCATCCCACAGTTGTATATGAATGATGTGAAATTCATACTGCATGAATGTGTAACAATATACCATGTCCCATGGCAACCATATACGAGATAATTTACCATGGCAACCAAATTGCATGAAAGATGCAAGATAATTTACTATGGCAACAATACCAAATTATGTCAAATTCATTTAGTGTAGATTTCACAACAATTGATTTGAAATCGTGGAATCATTATTAACTTTGACTCTATAAAAAATATGAGAATCTGTATAAATATACTAACTTTTGATAAGAAGAATCTCCCAATCCAATCACACCAAACTTAACTTGATGCAGCGAGTCTGATGGCAAATTTTTTCGAAGCAGAAACTTCCAAAACATCTGTGAATACAAAACAGTAAATAATAATTCAGTTCCGTAAAAGTATAATGAATGTAGATTGGATCATGATTGCATATGACTAATACAGAGCAATTGACTCAACTATCAACAAGAGGCCAAGAAAAAAAAATCATTTTTTTTTTTTCATCCCTCATATTATTTAAATTTTATTTCATGGGTTTTTGTCTCAATTTTTATATAAATAAAAGAAAAAAATATAAAAATCAAAAAGAAATCATCAAAATGACAAATTTTTATTTTTATCTGAGATTAGAAAATTATATTTTAATGAAAATTCACAGCACTAATAATGATAGAATTACATTTTTTTTTTAAATAGCTTATTTGTATTTTTGACACAACTTTGCATTGAAATAAATTATTGAATTGCTGTAGATTAATATTGGTTAAATTTGAAAACATCAATTTAAAAAAAAAACATCCTTTCAGTAGAGTTGATATTTTCTACATCCTGCAATGAGATTTCAACAATAATTTTATAGTTGGATGTGTATTCCTTTTTAAATTGCTAAATTCTGGTTACAGAAATTGTTTGTTTTTACGCTTGTAACTTTGGAATATGGCTCGTGTTTATTTTATTGTGTGGTTCATTACCTTCATGTTATCAGGTTCATCTCCTTGTCCAGTAGTAGCACACACAAATATTACTATAGATTCCTGAATCAGCTCTGACTAAAAAAAACAAAAATAAAGAAGTAAATTGAGATTATTTTCAGAAGTTTACCATACTAAAAATCGGATATGAATTAATAAATTTTACATTTGATTAAGTATCATCTTATAAAAAAAATATTGTTTTCGCAATAATTATAAAATACTGCTTATCAATCAAGAAAATAAATGAAACTACAAAGTTAATGATGTTTTACATTAGACCAAACATTCCAAGAGGAGTGGGGGTAATATAATCAACCTAAGAGATCTCACTGAAAAACTACACTTCTCTGACTTAGCTTCCATGCTAAACTAAGCGCCCAATCCCCACTTATTGGACGTTTCTGTTTTCGGGGTCACGTTTCAATAAGCACTAATCCCCTCCAAAATAACCAAATTTCATTGCCTGGTCATAAAACCTGGTCTTTGATCATTGTTTGATATTACTCAATACAGGTATGTTAATATCGTGCAAATGCATAATGCATGGTAACCGTGTGTGAACTACGCTTCTACAACGAACTGTTAACAGTCATGAAAAGCAGAAAATATACTTCACTCCATATTTAGCTTTCATAAATTACTAAAATTATGTTCTTTTTTTGCTGAAATCAATTCCAACAGATCGTACTTTGACATCAATAATTAACTTCCACATTGCGTTACCGGAATGCCTCAGGAATTCCAGAAAAATTGCATTAGACAACACAGTATCAAATTGTGCAAGAAAACATAATAACAAATATTTTGACACTTATAAATTTAACATCGTAAATTCTGGTGGTACATAATTAATACTGGAATAAAATGTGTGTATTTTTTGGGACCATTTCTATTTCTTCACTGTAAAAGTGTTGTAGAAATCAATTATGATGCCATTAAACTAAGGGGCCTCACTGAAATATAGCTTAACTAAGGAGTCTCACTGAAATATGACCAAAATAATTGATGTCACTGGAATACTGTAAAACATGTTGAAAAAACTGTAGCCACCATTTTGAATTTATAATGAAATCATTAGTTCTCTCGCTAAAGTTGCTAAAAAGACATGCTCGCGAAAAAGACGGAACTATAGGGTATCACATAAATATTGTCAAACTTTGAGATGGAACTAAAATACAACCACTGCAAGCCTACTGTTATATAACTATCAAATCTCTTCTGATTTTTAACTCACAATAATATATTCATCCATGGAAACAACTCGGGTTGAAAAGTGTCGTCTTTTTGCTTCTCTTCCAACTCTCTCAGCAACATCCTGAGCAGTTCCAGTTTGACTACCGTATAACACTAATATACTTCGTTTTTCCTCCATTTTTGATGAAATCCTAACAAATTATGAAATGGTCTGTGAAGAGAATAATAACATTAATGATACAAATAGTACAATCATCATGAATGTTTTCATATTACATCATAGTTTGCTTGAATTTAGTTGACATTAAGTTTATTGGCATTTTATTTAATATTTCAATTGATAAGAATCATGACCTTGGTATAGAAACAGATACACACGCCCCAAAACAACATTACAAGATAGAATTTGTCTACATCATTATACGCATAAAATAAAGTTTGTCCAAAATACATGACATTATGACAAGATTTGTTTTCACATATAATTCTCCCAAAGGAAATTAAAACTAATAATGAAAACTTTTGATGGCATTCCAACAATGCAGAAAAAACACATGATTTTAAAGCAGGGGAGTCGTCACCTGCATTCTTAGCGTGTGTTATTATCATCGCTTGGGACTCAATTCCCGCGTGTGCACAGGTGGCGACCATCCCGCTTTAGCTCATTACATTTTATTTACTTTTAATAATAATAACTTTATTGCATCCTTAGAAATACAATGTTACTATCAGTTAATAGCAATAATACAAAAAGAAAGTTAGTTGTTAATGGGATAAAGCGAGTATTACATATCAAATGGCATTTTCATTTCTTGATTGAAATGCGTTAGGAATATAGTTGCCAAATTATTATTATTATTATTATTATTATTATTATAGATCAGGGAAGTCTGTACAAACATACCGGTATATATAATTTTGTATACAATGTAACAATTGAATCACATTTAGATATGGTAGTAAAGTTATTATAAATAAATCGAAGAAAATGGAAGATTTACGTCTGCATGATCAGAGCTAGCACTCAATAATCTGATCTATATATTATTCACTTCAGATACATGGTCTTATCGATGTATACGGCGTAAAAGCGTGTTTTTACATTAAACAATATTGTATCTGATAATACAAGGAAAATCACTCACCTTGTATATCCGCATGTACAGCGAGTGCAGCTTAGTCTTGACTTCACACTTCCGGGTTGTATGTTTGTTTGTGTGTCGTTTCCTCCACTTGTGCGTTGTTTGAGTGTATGCTACCTACAACTAGAAGTACCATACACACTGCGTTTATTTTATTGAAATCGTCACATACATATTGATGCTAGTCTGACTGTGTTAGGGTAAGCTTGTAATTTTGTTTATTAAATAACCGGGGGGGGGGCATTTCTGTTTTATGCGCTCGGTTATTTCACGAGTGATTCACTGTGTAAGACCGCCCCGCAACACCTCCATCCATCAACACGGAAGGTGTTTTATATTAGTTTCCGTGCTCGTATCCTTTATATAGAATCACGTTCCTCATTGTAAACAAAATTTGCAATATCATAAAGTCCCATTCAAACTCTTTGTTGTGATTGGTCTATCCGCGGTCACATGGCGAACATGCACCATTTTACGCGCGACTTGTGTTGTTGTCTCGGCGGCGCTTGACCTGTATGTTGTAAAAATGCAGCGAAATCTAGCAACCTTTCACCTACCCCCGGAACACAGGAGAAAGCTTCAAGAAGCTGGATTTCAAACTGTCAGCGACATTATTGAAGTCTCCCCGATAGAGCTCAGTAAAGAACTCGAAATCAGCAAAGAAGACGCATTGGAAATTCTTCAGTTGGTGAAAGGCACAAACATTACATCATCGACTGCTCTAGAAAAACTGAAAGAGGAAAAGGAATTGCCGTTCATAATAACATTCTGTGAAGAATTAGATACAATTCTTGGCGGGGGAGTGCCGTTGGCAAAAATTACCGAGTTCTGTGGGGCTCCTGGGATTGGCAAAACTCAGATAGGCATACAATTGGCAGTTGATGTACAGATACCGTCTGTATTTGGAGGCGTTGAAGGAGAAGCCATTTATATTGACACAGAGGGCAGTTTTATGGTACACCGTGCTGTTGACATAGCACAAGCTACTGTCAGTCACTGTATTTCTAGTATAGAAAACAATCCAAAGTTAAAAGAAGTTTTGAATGATTTCACAGTTAACAGTATTTTATCTAAGATTTACGTCTATAGATGTAATGATTATATTGAGCTTATAGCAACTGTCAATCTATTACCACAGTTTTTAACTGAACATCCTCGGGTTAAACTCATTGTTTTGGACAGTATAGCATTTCATTTTAGAAATAATTTTGACGATATGGCGCTTAGAACCAGATTATTGAACGGCCTGGCGCAGAATCTGATTCGCATGGCATCCCAGCATAAATTGGCTGTGGTGTTAACCAATCAGATGACGACAAAGATAAAGTCAGATGATAGAGGTCAAAGTCATGTTGTGCCAGCTTTGGGAGAGAGTTGGGGTCATGCTAGTACACTAAGGATTGTACTATTTTGGCAACATAATCAGAGATATGCAAGACTGTACAAATCGCCGTCAAGAAAAGAAGCCACAGTTCCGTACACTATAACAATGGGTGGTATTCGCAGTATTGGTCAACAGAATATTGACAAAGAACACAAAGATGGTGACCATGGTGATGATGAATGCAATCCTAGAAAGAGGATGAGATTAGATGAATAAATAGTTCTGGCTAGTTGTTTTACCCAAATTTTGTGAGTTGTACCCCATTTAAATATGTTTATACAATGTAACATATGAATCTTTTTTTTTTTTAATTCTATTTTAATTCTATTAATTGTATTGTTTTTAGTTCCATATATGTATTAATTAAAGGATATCAAATTTGTGATTTCACAGTATCAAATTTATTGTAGTGATGTCATTTGTTATGTGCCTTTAATAAATCTGCAATTGTAGAATCACAAATTTGATATCCTGATTATTCCATATATCTATTTTGCAGTTTCTGAAGGCTAAACAGTGATCTTAATTTGTGAATAAGTACTTAAAGTGCCTGTGCAATGCCCACCCTCACGTTTCCCATTTTAGATCTGTGTCCCACTGAAAAGGGTAGTTATTGATTTTTTTGCTGAAAATGATTACTCGTATCCAAGTAAATTTGGGATATTTCTCGTGTTGTAGCCACGCCCACCTATCATGAAACGGTCGACTATTTTCGGATTTCCGACTCTCGCCGAAAGTGCGCCACCAAATGACAAAAGTGAGAGGAAATAAACGGCATGGTAAAAACTATGTCAAATTATAATTTGTGTGCTCATTATAAAGAAGATCACCATTTGTGAACACGGTTTATCGTTAGTTTTAACTTGCTGCAATTAAGAAATGCCTATGTTTATCCCTATGTTTACAGTTTTAAGGAAGCATTTGGGACCCAATTCAAACAGTAATTTTCATAATCTGGAAAAAAAATCACCACTGAACAAGGATGAAAAAAATGTCTGCTCTGAGAAGTTGGAAGAATTTGAAATTAATATCTGAAACTTCTAGAAATATCTGAATTCAATATATTTTCTCAAAATAATTCAAGCAACCCAATATTTTGGGATAGTCAACAGTGTTATCAAAAGTTCAATCTGATTCATGAACCCATCTGGATTTTTAATTCCTGTTCTGCCAAAGTCTGAAAAACGGAATGACCATCCTTGATCACTTTCAAGCTTCACACATGCATTTTGTGCATCCACCCCATCATCATTTCTCAAACTGGTTCGATTTTGGTACAAGACAAGTCATGATGATGGTTGACCTTTTGATAGATTATTGGTGTCTATTTTTGTGCCCAAAACACCTAAAATCAACTTTTGAACACGTCATCAACCATTTTTCAGCATGCCTTAACAGATTTCGTTTAAACTTGAGTTATTGATGCATGTCATTTTGTTTAGTGATTTGTTAGAAAATGGCTGACTGGTGGCCATGTTGTTTTTATTTTCATGTGGTCTTAATCATTTCTCAGACATGCTTTATCTGTTTTTGGTATGAACAACACATATGATAGCCAACTCATGGCCATTTTTAGTCCCCATTCAGACGCAGTCCGAAAACGGGGACTTGTATTTTGATCTCTGTGCATGCGTGTGTGCATCCGAACCTGTATCTCAGACATGCCTGGACCAATCACAATCAAACTTCACAAATATCATACATGATATTATTCATATGCACATCAATTTGTTTCACGATCTAATTCAAGATGACGGCTATTTTTGTGCTAAAAAAATATCAAAATCAAGCATTTCTCGGCTGTTTAAAGATTGATTCTGTTCAAACTTGGTATATACATTGGACATAATAGGACCTTGATACACATCATTTTGTTTTTCAGATAAGATTAAAAATGGCCAACTGGTGGCCATTTTGTTTTAATGAATGTGGTTCTAGTGTCACATCTGACTTGTATTGACTGGTTATGTTCAAATTTTAAATATTCATTATGTCACAGATATATCGGTTTGACGATCATATTAAAAATGGCTGAATGGTGGCCATTTTTGTGTTAAAAAATCATCAAATGTCAAGCATTTCTGAATGGATTTTGATGAAACTTGGTACATACATTAAACATTACGGGTTCCTGATGCACATTTTATTTTTTAGATCGGATTCAAAATGGCTGACTGGCAGCCGTTTTGTTTTAATGAATGGGGTTCTAGAGCCATATCTCTGACATGCTTTGACTGATTATGATCAAATTTTATATATTCATTATACATCATCACATAGATATATACATGTATTCTAAATGGCTGATTAATGCTGTTCCAGAGCAATATCTCGTAATATGGACAAGTACTCGTTTGATGATCAGATACAATATTGTTAAACAATCATCATAATCATATTCCTGATATGTTTATATTTCATCTATATTACTATTAAAAAAACTATATATTATCTTAAATTTGATAACTAGCGGGGACTGTGCCATGCATGGCTTGTTTGTTTTGAAAATGAAGCATTTCTGTCATTCCTAATCAAAATCTTCAGACTTGGTACATATGTTGAAAAAATGTCTAAATGACATAAATTTGATAATAAATGCTGTGCTATATCCATGTCTGATATGTCTTGGAATTCAATAGACAATTTACCATTCTCTTTGAGATCCCACGTTATGCATGAAATTTACCGTAAAAGAAAATATATTACTTTGCTTCATTACTGTAACACTGTACTAATTGCCATTTATCACATACATATCCCTGTTATTCCTCTATTGTGACGTTACATTGTTCTCATGAGCGAACATCCAAGTACTGTAGAATACTTTATTTTCGCTTGGAATTTATTTTCGCTATTTTTGCTAAAGGGATGATTCCGTGAAAATAAAAACCAGCGAATATACATTTTTTTCTATATTTTACATTAATCTCATCAAAAATCAGTGAAAATAAATTCCAAGCAAAACTCCCCAAAACCCTTTTCCGCGAAAATTAATTCCAGCGAAAATAAAGTATTCCACAGTATTTTCATCACCTGGCAACCACAATCTGTGAAAACAATGGTCGAAAACTCAAAAAAACAAAGAGAACTTTAGGCTAGTTGTGAAACAGTACTAAGATTACCCTCGCGTTTGCAAAATTTGGTTGTTCGGGATCGTCTCGTAGTTGTGCTGAAGAGCCCACAGAAATATATATTACAGTGGTACGCACCTTAGCAACATAAAATGTTCTGTAATGTCATGTAGCTCCATCCCTGAGAATAGATACAGCTACATTGTACATATACATGTATACGAAAAGAATGAATGTGACCAAATACACAACTACTTTCAGGGTTTATTCGATCTGTCTAACTAGTTTGCCCTTTAGTAGAATCAATAGTATGAAGGAGATGTACTAGTTGTTTTTGTGGAATATTCAGTGAGAGAAATGCTTGAATGTGATTTGCAATATAATGTATAATTATGATAGTTTTATATGTTTGATGCCTGTATTTCATGCATTTCTATTTGAAATTACATTGCATTTTCAACTGGTGGTGGCCTTTTTGCATATCTGGAGAAATTTTTTTCACTGGTTGTGTTTAAATTTAATACCAAGACGTTTTTTAATGAAAATGTTTTTGACCAAATTGCAGTCATTTTAGTCCAAAAAAATTGTTGGTAAAAATCATAATTCATGTGCTTCAAACTTTTTGAACATGCATTGTCAATTTTTTTTACATTTGGTATAATTTTGAGCAGCTGAGTTATTGGTGTAATTTTTTTTTTTTTTTACATTTTGATTGAAAATGGCTGGCAGGTGGCCATTTTGTTGCTTGGTTTTACACTTCAGTAGTTTCTCAGACATGTTTCAGAGTAGGCACAATGATGTGCCATTATTGCTGACATGTGCATATACTGTATAGAATGATTTGGCATGCAGTCAAAGATCGCTGCCAACATCGATATAGTATTTAAAAAATGCGCATTTTAAATTACTTCCATTACTTCAGTGAAAATTAATTCCAAGCTAAAATAAAGTACTTTACAGTATGTACGAAAGCAGTACAGTGATATTGATAAATGCATAATGGAGGTTGATGTGATCCTGTACCGCCCGAGTGCATACTTTATGGTGTTTTCATTTTAACCTTAGTAAAGTTAACGCATAGTTCTGTATGGTGTCATCATGTCAAGAGCCCATTTAAGTCTCATCTTGTAGATAGCTAGACTGATGCTACGACCTTCTGACATGACATATATCAATGTTCAAGGTTTGTAATAAAGTGATAGCCACACAGCCCTGTCATGTAGTCATGAATATGACTTCTGTGGCAAAATGCACTATGTGTCAGCACTAGCACTTGCAATTGGCACTTACAAAAAAAGTCAGGAGAGACAACAGTGACATTCAATGACCGGAACTGTCGCATGGCACAAAAACATTATTAAAAAAAAATAAAAATAAAATTAAAAAAAACATGTCCTACAACTACATGTATCATAGTGAAAAAAGTAATACATTGAAAATGTACAGAAAATATAGTTCTTGTAAACTGTCATATCGAGAGAAGCTATTTTCTTCCACCTGGACCTCCCAGTGTCCTAGTTACCTTGGGCATGTGCATTCGCATTTTTCTGAGTTGGAACGCTTATGCGAGAGCGAGATTGAAACAGGATCTTGGTATCATGTCACTGTAGTTGCAAACCCTAAGTAATGTACCTGTGGTATTATACATCTTTTCTTTAATAATACTTGCAATATTTTTGGGCTGCCACTGATCCATGAATCATTTGTTGACTTGTATTCATGGCAACCAACTTCTCTAATTAAACAATAATGTAATTATTTGTTTTCCGAACTCAACATTCTATTCCTATACATGGTACAGGGCCTTGATGCTCAATAATGCAATACATTATCGCGAATAATCTGTGACAATGATATAATAAAATTTGCTTGTATTGACAATGCTATAATATAATGTGTAATATTGGATGATATCATAATAATAATATGCAAATTAAACCACCTAGCTGGCACTCTGATTGGATGATCACCTACAATGTAGTAAATTTCTATGTAATCTTTCTCTTTTCAGATGTAACTATTGGCTTTTTGTGTTGTGCTCCACATGAGTTCGTCAAATCATCATTAGATTGAAAGAACTGTGAATCTCTGAATTCAGCTGTCCAATTAGCATCTTGGAATACCACAGCTACTTGATTTAATTTTTTTATATATTTAACTAAATCATACAAAATAACAAACAGCAAATACTAAGCACCTCTATGCTTGAATTGAGTATATTTATGCTGGAAAAATCCACAAGAACTCAGTAAAGAATTTGAAATCAGCAAAAGAAGATGCATTGGAAATCCTACAGTTGGTGAAAGGACTGAACATTATATCATCGACTGCTCTTGAGAAACTGTTAACAAAAATTACCAAGTTCTGAGAGATTCCTGGATTTGGTAAAATGTAGCTTGACATTCAATGTGCAGAAACAGTCTGAATTTGAAGGTGTTGAAGGAGAAGCCATTTATATTGACACAGAGTGTGCTGTTAATATGACGTGTTTATGCTAGAGGAAATCTCTGCAAGATGATCTTCACATTAAAAGAAGTGGTAATGTGGCTCGGAGTGACGGCATTTGAACTGTGGATCAACCTGGTTACCATTCTCATATTCTCTATACTTTTAGCACTAAAACTGGAAAGTGTGGTTGATATGACTTGGTGGGAGGTTTTTATCCCACTGTTTACATGTGATGGGTTGAATGCATATTTCTGTGCTATTGTGTTTATTCGATTGTGGATAGACAGAGATTTACGTACAGCTGGATTACGTGCAGTCTGGAGTGCTCTTGTCCTGATTATGGTCTTTATATTTGAAATGTTACTGTGTCAGAGATTGGAAGATGAAAACAATCTCTCGTTCTCATTGATTATGTCACCTGTGTTTATTCTGCTCCAGATGTTGATGATTCGGGCATGTCAGGTTGGATAGTGGATTGCCTCATCTTACTTCTAAATGTAATCCTGAGTAATCAAGGAAACTGTCTTTTTTGTATAATTATCTACATGTACATGAAATCCACTTTTTGTATACAAAACTGACCACCAATCTTCATTATGATTCAAAATAATTGTGATCTCTAGATATATTTCCCCTAAAACTAATTACTGGTAATCTAAATAAATTTATAAGCATACAGCTGACATGCAGCTCTCCTATCAAAAACTCCTATTGCTTTCATGTTGGGGAAATTATGGGTGATTAAGAAATTATTTGCGAACTATAATGGTCCATTTTTAGCGTAGCATAAATTTTTATTCTTTGAAAGAGACTAAATAATAATAAATATTTTCGCAAAGCCATAAAAATAAAACCTCAACGAAAGAGATAAACCCATGAGTGGATTTATAGAGATGCATGGTTGAAAATTTCAAATCAGGTCAGAAGTCAAGCCTAAATTGGTGGTACGAAGACAAGTCAGAATATTATACATTGTTTTTCAATTGATGCCATTTTTCTGAAGAAAGCATCAACATTTGAGTATGTCATCAACAGTTAGTTTCTCAGGCATACCAGAGCTGATATCATTCAAACTTTGTATGAACAACTCACACATGATGGGTTACTGATGCTCATCAATTTAGTCTGTGATTTAACTCAAAATGGCTGACTGGTGGTCATGTTGGGTTTTTTTTGGGTTTTTTTTGGGTTTTTTTTATGTTCTTAATCATTTATCTGAAATACAGGCTTCAAAGTTGGTACATAGAATTGAACATCAGGGAACCCCAAATTGATAAATGCAATATCTAGAGAAAGCAGGAACTCATCTGTTTTTGTAGTTGGATTCTTTCCTACAGGTCATTTATAGCAACCAGTATACTGGATATAATGTGTTGTGTTACTTGAAGTAATATTAATACTGGTTTTTGCAAGATTACATGTTATCTTTGGTATTAAAGCCACAATTAACTCCTATTCATCTACCAATGATGTGAGTGATTGTGTGTAATAAAGATTACAATCTGAAGTGATGCCCCATGGTTCTAAATATGTACTGTCATTTCCAATAATTAAGTTATTTCACCATATACTGTACATACAAATAAACATGCACAGATCGCAGTATCATCAGATCAATATATTGTTTGTACATAGTCGTCTACCAGTAATAAAACTTTTCTTTCAACAGAATATCTCCACTTTTCCCATTATTTGCATCCCCATCTTATATTAGCTCTCGTGTGCAGAGCAGGAAGGAAAGCTAATTTCAACCCAATGTCTGTCAAATATTGTTCTTCTAATATCTCTAGAACCACTTGGTGGATTGGAATGACATTTAGTATACATATATATATATATATAAAGATGAACTCCAGACCTGATTAATTGCATTAAAACTTGATTCATAGAAACTTTGCGTTGAATGTCACACTATTTTTGAAATAATTTGCACATGTTAAAAATTGATAAGCCTGTTAACTAGTTTGTTCATATCCTGACAAAGGTGGCTCCAGTCTATTACAACCAGGTATATGCATGACAAATTATGTATTTGCATCAATTAGTTGTGGTGGATTCACAAGTTTTCCAAGATGAAGTATTATCCCTAGGTGTGTAACATTAACATCGTCTGCTGGACCGTTTTATGCAATATATATATCAGCAATAGATATGTTAATAACCAAATTCTATATGTGTGTGCATAAAATCAATATTTAAGAACATTTCAATATTTTCCATTGCTTTGCTAAATGGTCATAACTTCCGCATAAATATCTAGTTAACTGATGGTAGGAATTTATCTGTTGTGATCCGTCATCAAATTCTACGATGAACACCTAATTAAAGTATCTCAGAACATTGATAATTTCAGAATGTTGTGATCAACAATAATACTTCACAAAGACTGAGCAAAAAACAACCCCACAAATGGGCTGGCTTCAATCACTGTTACAATTTTTTCAACATTTCATTTCAATTTTTAAATTTTCCAATAATTTTACAAACAACTGTTTGACTTTCCAATCCAACTTTATTTAATATCCAACCAATCTTTTCGACTTTGTAACTAACATTTACAACTTTATTTAATATCCAACCAATCTTTTCGACTTTGTAACTAACATTTACAACTTTATTTAATATCCAACCAATCTTTTCGACTTTGTAACTAACATTTACAACTTTATTTAATATCCAACCAATCTTTTTGACTTTGTAACTAACATTTACAACTTTATTTAATATCCAACCAATCTTTTCGACTTTGTAACTAACATTTACAACTTTATTTAATATCCAACCAATCTTTTCGACTTTGTAACTAACATTTACAACTTTATTTAATATCCAACCAATCTTTTCGACTTTGTAACTAACATTTACAACTTTATTTAATATCCAACCAATCTTTTCGACTTTGTAACTAACATTTACAACTTACTACCCAATTTGTTAGTGGACTCTTAAAACCTTTCAATCTAATGTAGTTCCAGATTTTTTGTCCAACTTTTACGATATGTCAGCCAGTTTTTTAGAAACTTAATATTTAAATTTGCTACAGCCTTTTACAACTTTCAATTTAGTTCACCAAAGAGGGGAAGATGAAACTGTACATCCCTGACATTCCTAGCTGTTTGGGATCAACGGATGAATGAAGTAAAGTTGGGAAAACAGACAGCCGCATATTACTAGATATATAAATATAATAAAGAATGAATAAATTTAAACACAGCTGAAATTTTGTTTACAAATTTATTCAAAAAAAGAAAGTTCAAGATCACACAGCATGTGATATGGCTATTTTAAAGACGTCATTATTACCACTATGGAAGATATACTATGGTAATATACATATTTGATACCCAGTTATTTAGCACAACTCTGATAAATGCAATAAGCCATGTAAAAATTAATCGATATATTGATTATCCAGCATATACCACGAAACGGCTGAAGACTCAACAAATAACATACTGTGTGTGCCACGCGGGCCCCAGTGAAGAGACGAAATACCCAGAGGGCGGTATTTAGAGCCGGAGCAGTCAAGACGTAGAGTGGAGCCAATGCCATGAATGCGTAGATGTTCTCAATGTCATTCTGAACCACTCTGTGAAAAAAGAATATACAGATTATCCAGTGTAATCAGTCTAATAACGACAGTCATTTCGTAAATTCGTCTCCATTGTTTTGTAATACGTTATAGTCATTGTAAACTTGAGAAGTTCAAATGAATACGTTTATTCAGAACACCTTTCATATTAGTAGCGCCCTCTAGTGTCGGTGCCCTTCCGTGACGCCTGGTGACAGGAAAGCCGTTCACAGCATTGTATTTGTGTTTCGATTTGTAGTCATCACAAACTACAATTAACATTTTGGTGATATTTAATATATTTTGATTACACAACCATTGACATTGGTTCGTTTTGATCGACATTGCTTGCACTAATCAACTCAATACTGACGTCACACAAGCATCTTGGCGGTAGAGGGCGCGAAAACATATCAGCACAACTTACGTATTAATAAGTGTGATTCTACCTGCCATTCGAGGTCATACTGGGATAGTATGATCGTTGATAAGATATGGAGCAGAACACTGACAACGTGTCAGAGTAAAATACAGAATCGAAGGATAAACGGCAAGCAAAGTTCAACTTCACGATGACACGTAAACTGGGTGACATTTTGTATTCATCAGGTTGAAATATGATGTCACTCTGTTGGTTTTATTTACCTCAGACTGCGATTCCTGCTCAGTGTAAAATGTATTTATTTGCCGTGTTACCTTTTTACTCTTTCCACGGTACTGTCTGTCGCCCCCATGCGCTTTACGTCTTCAGTGGACTTGGCATTTCCGAACGCCTTGGCATCTTCTGGATTGGAATATTTCTAACAAGGAAAACATAAAATAAATTAAATAAGTGACGCTCAAACTACAGAGGCACTAATAATAAAGTAGCTTAGCACATTTTTGTTCAATTTTAGCTAAGCCTAATAAAACCATAACGTAAGCTACGAATAATACAACTTATCAAGTACGGTGTTAAATACAGCTATAACCCGGTCGTGGGTGTGTCATCGTCAACTTTGAATATTACTCGACTGTTTGTTCAAATAGTTTGTAAGGGGACATTCTATGTATAAGCCTAGTTGGTTTCAGCATATGTTTACATATACTAGTACTACGCATTTGCGAGTCCCGTCCAACCAAACAACCTTTACCCCACCCCAACCCCAATCGAGTCACACAAACATGTATGGACGTATCTTGCCTAAAGTAGGCCACCGTACTGAGTGAGCACACGTTTAATAGTGGATTTGACTGCCTGTAGAACTCTCCCGGGAACTCACCTTTCTCGTTGTTCTGATTAGTGCAGTGAGTGGTAGCAGCAGCAAGTATTTAACTAGCACTATGGTGCTATAATACGCGAACAACTTGAACACCGGGTTACTTAACGAAAGTTCTGCTGCCATGTTGGAAGAGCAATGTTTGACCGGAACAAAGTCAGTAAGGATGTGTCCACTGACGATTCTATAGGGGGTCCAGTCTGAGATTTGGGGTAGTGATTAAAAATGCAATTTGAATACGAGTAGTCCTTTTAAAGGGCGGTGCGCGTGTCCCACAATCCAATGCGCTCTTCTAAAGGACATCTCAAGTATGAGGTTTGACCTGGGCGCGTCTTGCACTAATTGCCACCGGTGACTTCTTTTATACCTTCCAATCACCTAAAATACCTGATTAAAACTTGGGTAACGACTCAGTTTGTACTTATCGATCTGCGCAACAGTCAAAGTTGCCATCTTTGTTTATATGAGACCCATATAAACACAGAACTGAATTATTCAAGCACTGTAAGGAGGTTATAGTAAATTTTAGTATTAAAGTTCAATTAACTGAAAAAATTCGAAGCAATTATGAAATATTGTTCAGGAACAAGAACTGCACAATACATACAAAAATGTATGCAAATGAGATATGAGCAGCTCCACCAAAATTAAAAATATGCTTTCCACCATAGTTATGAGTTTAATGTGATTTTAATTGATTTGATTTTTCACTTCTTAGCAATAATAGCTAGTGCATTGTATTGTACTGACCGTACCAATTTATTGTGAGTTTTTATGTATTTATAATATTGTTTAGCTTTATTTAGCATTCTGTTTAGTTGGTTAACTTTACTGTATCGTAGTGTAGTTTATTTTATTTCATTTTTATACGAGCATAGAACAACTCACTGTAGTTTGTTTTAGTGTTGAATAAATATTATTATTATATCATCATCATTATTATTATTATATATCTCGCGCATGCGTGGCGCGACGACTACCGCCCTTTAATACAATGACATCATATGACACCGCGTTTCACCATAATGGATTATTTGTGCTCAAATTCCCATCTGCGTCACGGTTCAAACGGCATCGTTCGACTCCAGTCAGTGAAATGGCATGCTTCTGATTCTATGGAACTTTGGTTCGAACGTTCTGTTTTGTGGTCCAATGACTTGTTACCGACATGGACGAGATAACACTGTCGCTGTCACACGGATGGTTGATATAGTGCAGCACAGGTGGTAGCAAGACCCGGGGTAACTCGTCAGTTACTTGATACTATCAGCGTCGTTTTTCTTTTATTCTATTTTAAGTATTTTTGTATAGGGGTGAAAGCTCCGTTTAGGTAAACACGTTATGGTAAACTTTGTTAGCTAGACATTCGCGCACGTTTTCTTATCCCGTGCAAAGGGGCTGTGCGCGAATGCAACTACAGTCAAAACGTAATAACTGCGTTGTCGCGGCAACGTTGTTCTTCTTACAACTTGAATCTGCGGATGGAAAGGTAAAAATGTGAAACTCTCCTTCTTGATCACTGATTTTGTGAATACTGTGTTGAACGCAATCAATTTCATAATAAGGATGAATATCATTTTATGGCTGTTTTTCCTCGCTGTCTTCGTATTAGAACATAATTTTTGCATGTATAGTTTTGCACTAACCCCACTTACTGTTTGTATATACACGCCTGAAGTGTTAGTACATACTACGTCAAATTTAATGTATTACAAATTACCCATCATGCAAGGTTTTTAAATAAACATGGCGTCTGTCTATGTACACAGTACTATTGTTGTCTAGTCGTCTTTACTAGTTTGCTGCATTCACTTGTATCAAATTCACTAGTATGACTTCAAGAAACAATTTAAACCAGTTGACTAGTTTTGTTCATTTTGCTATGAAAAGCAGAATTTGAATGTATTTCACAGTTAGCATTGTATAGGGCTAAACCAACACTTACTTATACTAGCCCAAAGCTGGCTCATTCCTAAACATGTTGATTGAACCTACCGTTTAAAGTCGCCCTCGCACGACAAGAATGACATAAACTTTCTTCTTTACAAAGAACCCGAGAGGAAAAAAAGCATTGTACCACGGATGTCTTGAGTCGGCCAATGGGTGTTTTAGTATTCCCGTGGGTGTATGCCGTAAATAAACTGGTTATAGAAAGATATATGGAATTAAAAAAAACGACAACGCAGTATACACTATTCATTGACTCAGTGATTGACTATAAATTAAAGCGGGAGGGCAGCGCACGTGCAGCAATTGAGCCCCAAGCGACGATGACAACACACTCTAAAACGCAAAGGCTCATGGGTAGACGCTTGTTTGTAAACAATGACGCATGCGCAGGTGACGACTCCCCCGCTTTAAGGTAGGTATATCATAGCAACAATTCTGCACAATTCGCGACAGATGTATACCATCAAGTGATCATGATTTGACTAGTGCAAACCATCCGCGATTGTGGTTTCTATGAATGAATACATGATATACACGGTATTGTCGCTAATCAGCAATAGAAAAGAAATGTAGTAGTGAATTGATAAGCGTGGTTACTCGTGGTGATATAGGAGCTCGATGTCAGTCATCTGAGAGCCTTAATATTACCAGTAAGTCGACAATAGTAGTATTACAGAGTTGGTGTTAAAACAGTCATTTGGGAGCGACGTTTTGTTGCTGGTGCACATAAGTTTACACCCCCCCCCCCCCTCCGCGTCTAGACTGGTGAACTATAACCAACCCATATTGAAATCAGATAGTATTCATTCATTCGTTCGTTATGTCGACGCTTTAGCAACGTTTTCACGCCATGTTTTGGATTTCTGTTGCATTTTTGTCCTGGTTTTTGTCACGTATACAATGCTGCTTTTCCACACGTCGCTACACAAACCAATGTCATGATATGGCGCCCCCGTGCGTAGTTGTGATCTTTTCGAATTTATACTTCTTTAACGATATGGAAACATTTTGAAATTGACTGCTCTACATTTACTTCATTTACCATTCTGTGTAGAATCACAGGCACGGGCAAAGCCAAAAACTCACCTTACGTCCATATATTAATGTAATATATAATACTCCGAACCATATACTGTGTTTAACTGCTCTAAAATGACTATGTGTCCAGTTGTATCAGCTATATATTGTCTGGGCGTGGGACAACACGTTATATTCACAAACGAGGTCGTGGAATATTGTTCATTACTGGTTGATAAAAGTGTCAGACTGTGTTAGATTTGGTATCATGATCCTTTATTAAGCACATGAAGATATGTTACCGTGCGCCCTGTAGAGGGTGATCATAGAAGCGTGGAATGAAATATTTAAAATACAATTCATTGTTGTCATACACACTAATAAAGTAGGATAGAATATAATTTGGTACCTAATCTCGGTCTTGAGTATATTACGAACGACTAATCTCAACCCACGTTATGTTGAGAAGCCCAGTAACTAAATAAGCAGACAAAAAATTGGTGATCAGATAAGATGTACTGGTAGTATGTGAACGGATTACACAGGCCGTTAATACTACAGTCAACAGTTTTATCGAGAATAGTATGGTAACCCCCCCCCCCAATTTTACGAAAGCCGAGATATCACCAGTCGATGTCGTGATTTATTTCACAGCAACTTTTATATTAATTCTGGTAATATGTTGGATGTAAACACTACGATAAAAACATTCTGTTTTCGACATTGTGAAATTTTTTCGTTTTTTGAAAGAAAAAAACCTGTAAAAACTGATTTTGCAAAAATAATTCAGAAATTTATATTAAGAATAATTCATAACGAAATGCTTTTCCTATGCACCCATAAATAATTTCCCTAATGTATGAACAACTTTAATAAATATGATTATATTTCGTGAAAATACTGTATTTTTTTGCATAAAAACGAAAGAATATCGAAAATGAAAAATGTTTATCGAAGTGTTATGTAGTATTTTATTTTGAAAGCACGAATGAACATTTCTCAAACGACATAAATATGAAGTCACATGATACCAAATAATGATTGCGCCAATCCATCAGGCAATACACGTTATCTGTTGTTTTGATATAATATATCGACAGCGCAAAATGGCTCTAACACTTTCTGATCTATTTCTGGATTTTCTAATCTTGACTAAAATGAAGTATTAATCACAAAAAAATCCAATAATCCCAATTTCATTTTGCTGTACTTATTTCAAATGGTAAAAAAATGTTTTTTTGAAAGTCAGTGTTCACACTATTAAACAATAATGTATTTTGTCATTAAATAATTGCACTGACACTTGATGCACACAATTTTAATTATTTTGTTTGCAAAAACAATGATTATCCAGCTTGACACATCAATTTCAATATTTTCAATATGAACACGGCCTGATAATTGCACATTATCGCTCAGAGGTATATGGTTTTCAATTGTGCACCACTGCCTTGATCCATGGCCCTAAAGATTGCCCTCAAAGTCTGAAAATG